CCCGCCCAACAAGCTTCTCTGAAAAATAAAAGCATGGCGCAAAACTCAGGTCCTAGAACAAAAAAAAAAGTCCAGAAATGAACGAACATCCAGGTCTTTCCACTGCTGAACGCAAATAATAACTTATAAAGCAAGTGGAGTACTGCAGGTACTAGGTAATTCTCATGTTCGTGTTTGTTATCATGTTGCTTGTTCTGCACATGTTAAGTGTCATCTGTTCCAACAAGCAGTACACTATCCTTTCCTGTAGTCGCCCTTAGAAAGGCAGTTAGCACACTGTGTTGTGGTTTGCAGGTAGGCTGTGCTATCTGCGTCTTTTGGCCCAACACATCCAATTTTAGCAAAAGGTGTACATTAACAAATGGCAATATTTGTAAATAATACAAATACACACAGGAAACATCACACAGATAATCAAATAGGGCTGGATAGTCAGATAAGCAAACAATCAGACAACATGTAGCTGGACAGATAGATATACTGAAAGACAGATATGAAGATAGATAGAGTAATTAATGACCTGCTGAAACTCGAGGTGGTAGGCTAAAGGTTAGATATCCCAGCCTCACTGTACGCTACTTGCAAATGTATGTGACGTCTGCAGACACCTACCTAAGAGTTTATGTGATCTCATCAGACACCTAGAAGTTTATGTGATCTCTGCAGACACCAGGGAATGTATGAACAGATATAATCTCTGCAGACATTAGGGAATGTGTGCAACCTGATATAATCTCTGCAGACACCAGGGAATGTGTGCGACATGATATAATCTCTGCAGACACCAGGGAATGTGTGTGAACAGATACAATCTCTGCAGACACCAGGGAATGTGTGTGACCTCATATAATCTCTGCAGACATAAGGGAATGTATGTGACATGATGTAATCTCTGCGGATACCAGGGAATGTATGTGACATAATATAATCTGTGCAGACACCAGGGAATGTGTGTGACATGATATAATCACTGCAGATACCAGGGTATGTGTGTGACATGATATAATCTCTGCAGACACCAAGGAATGAGTGTGACATGATAAAATCTCTGCAGACACCAGGGAATGTGTGTGAACAGATACAATCTCTGCAGACACCAGGGAATGTGTGTGAACAGATACAATCTCTGCAGACATCAGGGAATGTATGTGACATGATATAATCTCTGCAGATACCAGGGAATGTAAGTGACATGATTGAATCTCTGCAGACACCAGGGAATGTGTGTGACCTGATAGAATCTCTGCAGACACCAGGGAATGTATGTGACATAATATAATCTCTGCAGACACCAGGGAATTATGTGACCTGATATAATCTCTGCAGACATCAGGGAATGTATGTGAACAGATATAATCTCTGCAGACACCAGGTAATGAATGTGACATGATATATAATTTCTGCAGACATCAGGGAATGTATGTGACATGATATAATCTCTGCAGACATCAGGGAATGTCCAGGACAAAGAGGAGGGCAACAATCCAGCCAAGAAAAAACAGACCTTACTAGAGAACTCCTGTACAAAGCTCTGATAAAAACAATGTTTTATTTGACATAACTTATGACAAGACAACACAAAGTCATTCATGTGTAAAACAAATCTTAAAAAAAAAAACAACAGGCATCATGACCAAAAGGAAAGGGAAACAACTTTAAAAAAAAAATAATCAAAGGATGTTTTGCAGTGGGGGAAAAGGGCACTAAATAAAAAATGATATGGGTGATGGCTAATTACACCTGCAGTAATGGGCACTTTCATTGTTAGCCTTATCAGCTGAAAGCCATATTCAAAGTGATTTTACATACCCACCCATGGCCCAGGTTTTTGAGTTCCCTGATAAGGCATGTCACCGGGCAAGACCTTGCAATCAGACAGTGTCTATGTAACTACAGGGCTCTGAGAACTCACTGTCTGTCAAATAGCAGACATGGTAACAGAGAAACCACAAACATAGATAAGTTCTCTATCATGTGTCCTTGGGGGTGTTGGTGCACTGTGTCTGCTTACAGCCATGCTGAGATGTTTGCTCCCCTCCCCATACACCATGGCATGCCAAGTTGACAAATGTCCCACCTTTCTCAACTCCCTTCGCACTTAATTGTGTGAAACATTCTGGGTACGTTGTCTCATTCTGAAACTGTCTTTGCCATTTCATCATACATGTGATGGTATTTAGCTGCCAAGAGATTGTGCAACAACTTTTCACCCTTGTTTGAGAAGTCAAATCGTCCATTAACCTTACATGCTCACTAACAATTTGAACAGGGTTAAGTCTCCTCAGGAAAAAAAATTTTTTTTTTTACCTACATACTAGACTGGAAATATAAAACAATTTGACAGGACGGGCCAGCAAACATAACAAAGCAATCATGTGCCGAGATGTATATACAAATATTGTTCACTTGAGGGTTCATGTTTGGTGGGATGACTCAGCCGTAGGTTTTTTAAGCAAGCCCCCCCCCCCCCCCCCCCCCCCGTTTTCTCCTACCTCTGCATGCCACATTTGGTGTAGCAGACATAATTTAAAAAAAAAAGATGGCCACTAGGTTTAGCCAGCTTTAGTATGCTTTGATCAAATATTTAAAAACAAAAGGTAACAAGGCCCACCATAATGTGATCTTTTGGACACACGGAGAAGGACCAAGCACACACATCATGACATGAGTCAATGGTGTTGAAAATAAACCAGGCAGTATATGACAAATATCAGTCCAAAAAAAATCAGTCTCCTTTAAAAAACAACATTACAAATCTATTTAGAATGTATCTATAATTACAAGTCTATTTATAATTGTAAACTCTATTAAAAATATATTTATAATTATACACATAACGCTATAGCGGGGAAGGGTGTATTTGTAGCCTAAATTTAAGTCAGTATACAGCATTTGGTATCAGAGCTTTATCAGCTTGTTGGCCTGGCAGTGACTAAACTAGGTCCCTTGCACTAAACCGCAACAAATTAAATGAGAATCTGAGAAGAATAACCTGGCGAAAACTACAACAAAGTGACGAAATTTCAAAAACATTTAGCACGGGGAAGACCATGCAAAAACATTGATCGACAGGATCAAGAACAACCTTAGAGAACTAAAGACCAATTCACAGTGTACTTGATATCACACACACAATGCTTACAACTCGCCCCCAGAAACTAGTGAACAAATGCTTATCAGGGTTTATTTACGGTGGCAGACAACTGTACACAGTACAGGTTTATTTTTAGACATCACCTTTTCAGTGCTACTGTAACATTGCCCATTTAGGTCGAGTACAGGCATTTTTTTCTTCTTCTAGGAAACAGACACAGGTACCTAGTAGAACAATCCATCTATATTCTCTTCAGTTATGATGTAAATAGGAGCCACTGTAGTCAAGCTGATGATGAGAAATGCTACATTACATTAAATGTAGTGCTTAATTACACACAATGTAACCAGAAAGCTTAATGGAGGGAACGGGAAAGACGTGCACAAACCTCCTTGGTTTGCTTCCTCAAGTGTTTATTTCAAATCAGGAAAAACATTTCCCTGTGAATCAGGTAACCTCATTTATGCCATCACCTGCTCAAAAAATGTAATGTGACCTTGCCCACGCCTGCATGTGTACTGGGCATACAGGGATGGACCTAGATATTATAGACCAAATGGCAGTCACTTTGTTTTACAATTTATTAAACTTATTATTATTTCTCCCTTTCTTATTTGAAGCATCATCTTACTAGTTGTAGAAGTAGTAGCACATTTTACCCCACTAGGACATCACACAAGCGATAAACACCCTATGACACAAAGTGCCATCATGTGGATGAGGATCACCTGTGGAGAGGTCCCGGACAACGCGTTTAGCCATTAATGGCCGCGCTATAGCAAGAGCCAGGGTGGGGTGTCAAAATAAAGAAAAATTGCATCCCACAAGGGGATGACTAGTTACAGCATTACCATCTTACGAATTTCATTTCGTAATATAGCTCTTCATGCCCTCCGCCCCCAATTACTACTTCTTGGTTTCATCTTGACCTTGGCTGTTTAGAAGCTCTGTTGTCTTGTCTACTGAGTACTCCAGTCAAAGTTTTCTTATATTTTATTATCTGCAAACGAAGACTTTGGTTGAAATGTTTAGATAAATTTGTGCACATATTTCCCATTCCTCTGTTTTATTTTTTAACACTTCTTTATATTTTCTTCATGTAGATGTTGACACATAAAGTATTCACACACAAAATCTCCACTGCTGCTTCGTCTCATTTTCTATGTGCTGTCCACTGAAAAGTTGTCCATGCCAAAGAATGAAGTGAACCCATTAACAGCCAACAAATGTGGTTTGTTTGCAAGTTCCTGGAAGAAATTTGTGGAGAGATATTTTAGTTTCTTCTCTTGTGTCTGTTGATAAAGACGATGGTTGATGGTATTTGTGCATCTCCTATTTCTGGTTGAGTCTCCCAGTTATGTGTTCATTTAGTTTTTGTTATCAGCTTAACCTGTCAGCCTGATTTTCCCCACCATGAAAACTAATGTCAAGACATGGGACCATATAATGCAACATGATTTTAGACTTGCCAGTTTGTCATCAAATACACATGTTTAAAACAAAATCCATAAAATGGTGCCCCATTTTTCATCAAAATAAATTTTATGAAGTACAGGAGCTTGAATTTAAAAAATAACAGCGATCCAGTAAAGACATAAGTAAACAAAACATGGAGACAACATGTGCCAGCACAACAACAGCCCAGGTCTGCCCACAACAGCAGTCCAGGTCTGTTGCAGATCTGCACACAACAACAGCCCAGGTCTGCCGCAGTGCTGCACACAACAGCAGTCCAGGACTGTTGCAGATCTGCACATAACAAAAACAGTCCAGGTCTGCCGCAGATCTGCACACAACAGCAGTCCAGGTCTGTTGCAGATCTGCACACAACAAAAACAATCCAGCAAATAAAACAAACCATTAACATGAACAATAACGTCAACCAAACCAGGGAGAAGATGTGAGTCTACTTCAGCCGAAACCCTGCCTTAATGGAGACATGGTCGGATGGGATACTTTTGCTGGGAAGGCCCCCAGAAGCTTGCAGGACCTCCAAGTCCAAGGTTTCCAGAACGCCAACATTGTCAATGGATGCAGATGAAAAAAAGATGTGGTCAGCTGACCGCCCTTCTTTCGTGTACACTGTGACTGGAGGTTCTTTACCCTAAGAAGACCCAAAGAAAAAAAAAACTGATAAATGTGTGACTTTCTCGATTTTTTTTGGTTTTTTTTTAAAGTATCCAGAAACCATGAGTTGTAAACCCTTTGGCTCGATACTATGGATATCGCAACACTTCGGCCTTGATTCCATTATAGGTACCGTTAATCTGGGAGAAATGTGGCTTTTCTGCCTACCCCCGGGAGTGAACCCGGACCACAAGGAGTTCGTCACCCGGCCGCCGCGAAAGTCAGGTTTAACCAACTTCGCTAGAGAGCTGGGCAACTTTCTTGAATAAACAGCAATGATATCCAGTCAGTTTCAAGCTATTAACACTCTGGAGACGACATGGCCGAAATATCGGCCTTGTGTAATTAAAGTCTTGAAATTGGCTGGCAGATTTTAGTACCAGCCAATCAGATTTTCTTCTCGCATTTTTTTTTGCACATGTGGGCTGTTTAATGCCAGCTTTCGAGAAAGGTTGATGTGTTCTGTAATTTTACAGCAATTTTTATGCGGGCTTACCTTACCTGTGCCCAACTACGACGAAAAGCCTGTTGCGTTATAACAACCGAAACAAAGTAGAAGGCATAAAAATGAGTAGAACACCGTGTCAGAACGGCCTGCGTGGATCTTTCCTCCCAAAAACACAAGTCTTAGGACTTATTGCGACCTTTACCATAAAAAAATTCACCCAAATTTTCTTTTAAATTGGTCATCTTTAACCACAAATTAAAAAAATTATTGTGTGCATAAATTATGCAAATCATATTAGTTAATTTAAATAAATGTTGAGATTTCAGTTTCTTAGTCATACATATTCTGTTAGTTTATTCATCCCCCCCCCCCTATATAGTTTTGAAAATGTTAAATACACGCTTTAAAAAAAAACAAATTGTGTGTGTGTGTAAACTAAGAGAATTATTTCCTGATGGCTTTGCCTTTCTGACCCTGAAACTCTAAAATGACTCCGTCCCCAAAGGGTTAATACAAATAGAAAGCTCATCCAACAATGGGTAAAGTGGAGAGGACATAGAAGGAGCTGCAGATGATGGCCAAAACAATAGGACTTTTTGGCATAAGCTGGTTGAGATCCCATGCTCCAATTAGGGATGAAGGGCACTTCTTCAACTGCACTTGCGTTAAAAGTGGTAGGCAGGCTGAGTTGAGGTTTATAGCATTTTTAGCCCAATACATCGGATTTCCATAAACCGTTAACTGACTAGCTGTCTTTTATAACACGTTAGATAAGGGGCAGGGACAGTCTTACTTCTGTGTAAGGCCTAAATGGGCCCTGGAACCCACACAGGGAACACAAGACATAATAATAAGTGAGGAGATGCAGCTGAACTAATGTTAATGTTAAGTGACAGTTTAGTAAACCTGCATGAGACACAAAACATGACAACTTACCAGTGTCTGCTCATAGGCATTCTTTAGGGTGGATGATGTATGCTGGAAGGCAGCCCACAAGTGATGAATCAGTGCCTGCGACTGTGGAGGGATAAACAAACAGATCATCTTAACATTCTGCCGCCGGCCTTGTGTATGTAGATAGATATTTAGATTAGATATGTGGCTATGCTAGAGTGGATACGCGATTGGGTTTAGAGCTGATATGCGGTTGGATTTTAAGTCAATGAGTGTTCACACAGGCTAAGTGATGATGCATGAAAGTCATATCTGTTGGATGACTGAATGAGCTGGTTGTCGAGACACACTGTGAGGTTTCAAAGAACAGTGTCCTGCACCCAGTTCTTTCCCATATGCTAAGCATCTCTTCACAGAGCAGCCAATAACACCGAGAATAACCCCCCAGATGTCTCAAAAGATGCGTGCACAACTTCCTCCACAATCTTGACTCAGATATGTTATACAACCAGCAAGATACCCTACATATTATAAGCAAAAGCAAACACAGTGCTACAGAGAATACTGCCTCTGAGGCGACCAGTCCCACTTCTTATCAGTTTCTTGCCAGATAATTCTCTATTGGAAAATAAACTCACAGTTCGATCATGACAGTGACACAAATAGCAACAGCCATACATACATACATTTGTAACGCCTGCAGCACGAAGCAAAGACTGAATATTAAATTTTTGTTTCAAACTCAGAATAAGTCTCGAGACAGTTGAATGGATGAGACAAGTTTATGGGGATCAATGTTTCTTTGGTTATCCTGTGCACACAGATATTAAGATGTTAATCAAGATGCAAAAATTGGTGTGAAAAGACTGAAGATGAAGCTAAGCGGACACATCAGATTTCTGTCTGTAATGATCAACTCGTCAAAGTAAGGGAACACAAAGATCACTGTGAAGACAATGGTAGATAAATTTAATTAACACTGATCACTGGAGACTTGTCTCATCTATTCAGCTCTTTTCCAAACTGTAAACACACTTTAATGTTTCTTTGTAATAAGCTGTATATTTAACCATGCAACCCTGAACAAAAAGGCTGGTTAACTTGTCACGTGGCTGAAGTTAGTTCTGTCAGATCACAGAATGATGCCTGATGGGATGACATGCTTTGCTTCATAGACAATATTTTTTTTATTTGCCAAAATTAGGTCTCACTATTTAATGGCTGGCCTGTGTATTGCACATAAACAGCAGCAGGCTCTTATATTCTACATAAACAGCAACAGATCATACATGCTCTACACAAAATTGCTGACTTACAGATCCATCCGTATTACTGAGAGCCTGCAGGGCCTGGAGCTTGCGGATGTGATCATCTGATAGATAACCATCTCTGGCCAGCTGGTAGGCAGGTGAACTGGCATCTGCGTTAAAGTCTCCACAGATAATGTGAGGATTCTGGTCACTCCCAGCTTTGGTAACCAGCTGGTTCACAGCCAAAGCAACCTGATCCAGTGGACAGAGGAGACAATAGTGATCGACATAAGCTATGAGATACATGAATCATACCCCCACCACCCACCCTACCTGACATATTCATTGATTTTCAAATTTTTCTTCATAAAAGTAGCATCATATAACATGGACCCCCCCCGTCCCCCCAAAATTTTCCAGAACCCTAACCTAACAAACTGAGCTTTTCCCTTGCATGAGCTAAATAATTGTATTTTCATCCATAAACCCTCTTAAGGAGTCAGCGAGTATGTCGTCCTATATACCAATTAAGGTTGTGGTGAGTATAATTCTGTAGTAAACACAGGCAGTGGTCCTTACAGTGTCATAAATGCTAGTAAAAAAGAAATTTTTTTGGGGCATACCAACAAGAAATGGAGAAGAGAAAGTAGCCTGACGCAGGACAATATACAGTGGAAAGAGAGGCAGAGGAAGATGTCTGTGGAAACAGCAAGGCGATGAATAATAAATACGCCTAGCGCGCTAGCTCAGTTGGTTAAACCTGACTGTGCAGCAAACTTCTTGTGGTCTGGGTTCACGCCCGGCGGCTAAGTAGAAAAAGCCATGTAACTCCTAGATTTACGGTATCTATCATGGAATCAAGGCCGAACGGTTGCGATATCCAAGTACCGAGCCAAAGGGTTTACAACTTATGATTTCTGGATATTTAGAAGAAAAAATATAAATAAATACAGGTAAGGAGACCTGCTTCAAAAATACTTGTAGTCAACAAACCAATTTCTGTCATAAAGTGGACAACAAGCAACCATGTGTCATGAAATGGACAACAAGCAACCATGTGTCATGAAGTGGACAACAAGCAACCATGTGTCATGAAGTGGACAACAAGCAACCATACGTCATGAAGTGGACAACAAGCATCCATGTGTCCTGAAGTGGCAACAAGCAACCATGTGTCATGAAGTGGACAACAAGCAACCATGTGTCATAAAGTGGAGAAGCAACCATCCGCCGTGAAGTGGACAAGAAACTTAGATGTATGCCTAATATGGGAACAGGAACATGTAGAAAGAACGAACGAACAAACAAACTTTATTTTTAAAGGGTTAAGAATTGGGCACGCAGGCCCGTCTAACATTCTGCCCTTCGAGGTCTCCCTCCATTCTTACATCATTTCATTCACACATCAAGTAATATTAAAAGTTAGCAATAGCATCAAAATAATCAATACAAGCACTGGAATGTGCACATTTCTAACTACAGTAAAACATATTAGTTGTAACAAATCTAAGAAAAATGAGCGCTTTTTTTCACATATGTTTTATCTTCTATGGGGGCATATAATCGGTGCTCAGATAATATTCGAACAGTTTCCGATTGTATGTATATGGACTAGTGGTACTTTTGATTTGCTGTGGTAGATAGTTCCACAATTGAGCTGCGGAATATGACAGACTTGTTTTATAAAGGTCTATCCTAGGTTTAGGGATGTGTAATATGTTTAGACGCTTACTATGCCGTTCATTATATTTGAACAACGGCCATAAGTAACATGGAGCCTTTTGAGATAATATTCTGTAAGTATATTTTGCCTTATTGAAAAGTAGACGTTCACAAAGCGGTAGTAGTCTAAGACCTTTATATGTTTCGGAGCTCAGTGTTCCATGATTGTTACTAATTAAGCGAATGGCGCGCTTTTGCAGTGATGTGAGTCGCTTGATAACAGAGCTGGAACAGCCATCCCATATTGTAGAGCAATAGTCTACATGTGTCTGGATGTGAGAAATATAGAATATCTTTCTTGTGTGTTCATCAAGAAAGTTTTTAATTTTTGCAAGCTGGTAAACCTTTTTAGCTGTTTGCTTCACAAGTGCTTGTACGTGTGAGTTGAATGTTAGATTTGCATCAATTACCAACCCCAGTGTCTTGTGCTCAGTTACATTTTCTACTTGAGTGCCCCCAATGTAGAGTTGAAGCGTTCTCTGAGAATTTAAACTGTATAGTTTTTGCCTGGTCGTTATTAGCATAGATTTGGTTTTATTAATGTTTATTTGCATACGGTTTGCACTGCTCCATTGGACTACATTATTTAATTCTTGTTGTAATGAGGACTCTAGTAAATTACATGTTTTTGAGCATTTGCATAGATGGTACAGTCGTCTGCGAATAAATCGCAGGACAACGACAGACATAAAGGAAGGTCATTTATGTATATTGAATAAAAGGAGGACCGAGAATCGAGCCTTGAGGTACCCCAGTATTTAATTCAGTGGCTTGCAATAGTGATTTATTGTAACAGATTATTTGTTTTCTATTTAACAAAAAGGATTTTATTAACTGTAATAGTCTAGAGTTAAATTTCATTGTTTCTAATTTTCTTATAAGAATGTTATGGTCTATCATATCAAAAGCTTTCTTAAAGTCTATAAACACTCCGCCACATATTTTCTCATCATTAACATTATGGTGCCATTTTTCAATCATGTTAGTTAAAGCAGTGTGGCAAGAATAGTTTGGTCGAAAACCTGATTGGTTATCCACTATAAGTTTGTTGTGATCTAGGTGCTGAAAAGTTACATTATGAATATGTTTCTCTAGTGGTTTCGATAGTGATGATAACAGGGAGATTGGTCTATAGTTACCTGGAATACTACTATCTAATGAACCAGATTTTAGACGTGGATACACTTTGGCAATCTTAAATGCAGATGGGAAGTAGCCTTTGACCAGACATTGGTTGTAAATAAAGATCATCGACTCACAAATAACTGGGGCAGCACTACGAAGGATCCTATTGCTGATTCCGTCTAAACCGGACGTATTACTGTTTCTGAGACTGTTGAAATGTATAAAAACTTCCGCAACTGTCATGAGAGGAATGTCAGAAGGAATGTCTTCAGGGCATTTATTTTCACAAAATGCTGATAGCAGTGATAAATCACATGGACAGTTTGGCATTGTGGCTTTTACATTTTCTATATTGGCTTCAAAGAAATTACTGAAATCATTCGTGTGTGGGAATAGAAAGGGAGGGTAAGTGAGAGACTAAGGAGGAGGTGAAAATTTAATGGAGAGGGAAGACGACCAACAGAAAGAGATAATTCAGAAGAAAATATTAAGAAAAAAAAATGACAAAAAGAACTCAAAAGGAGAAAAGACAGCCGAGAAGGACAAGACAGAGAGAAATGTGGGGGAAAAGGCAAGAGAAAAAAGAGCAAGGAGATAAAGAAATGGTGAGGTAGAAAGTGTTGAGGAAGATATGAGCGAGCAACAACCAAATTAAAAATTTTTTTTTAAAATGGGAGACTAGACACTAGAGAGAAGGCTTGACAAAGCAGTTACCTGAATGCACTGGACATCTGGAGCCTTGGGATCATAAACCACGTGGATATTGCATACAGTGAGAGTTTTCCCCGTCTTCTTACAGCGCAGCTCTGTCAACAAGATGACATCTGCCCTGTCTAGGTACTTCTTGGCTGCACTAGTGACTTCAGCACTCAACCCACAGCTCTCTACCTTCTGATGTGAAAGAGAAATATCTCAGTGATAGGGTCAAATTGTGTGTCAGGTAAAAGTACAATGTTAATACAGTGTAGGCCGCTAACGACGATCTTGGATGTGATAAATTTCTGGGTACACATCATGAAAATGCCCGCATCTTATTGGGCGTAAAATTCCGCGCCGACTCCCATTTGTGCTGATGCCTGTTCCCACAGGCTCTACTATGTTGTAGGGGCGTTAGGATATCCATTTCTTCACCTTTTTCATCTACATGCACAGTGCATGGAAAAGCAGCTACCGTTCGTTCGAGGCCCAGTGCAAAATTGGGAAGGTCATGTTTATGACAGGCGACACTGAGTGGCATTTTTTTTTCCCGTTGATTAGTTTTAAAAAAAATTTTACATCTCTTCTGCAACCGTCACTGGAGCTTACAGAAAAGCAACACTACTCTGCTTGTTTCTCACCAATGCAGTTAGAAATTCATGGCAAAGGTCAAGTCGCCAACTGAGGCTGGCGTGATATCGATGAAGAGCAAACGCACAACACAAGTAACACACACAGTGCCAGCTGTACACAACTGGAATAAAGAATGCCTTTAGTGTTGACAATAACAAACGTTGACACACCCACAACATATAAAGAATAATCTGTTTATCCTTGGCAATGTCTCTTACATGAACAAGAGAAATTTCTGTTATGAAAAACAATTTCGTGGGTCCTCTATAAGTTCTCCCTTTTAGGTCTGCACTGTAATATGTAAAACACCAGGTGACATAAAATCATGGCACAGGAAATCAATTGTCACCTGCTGTAACTGACGGTGTCAAAGACATTGTTGGGCTTTTCAAAATAGATGTTAAAATTATGCTGTGTCTTATACAAGAAAGGTGTACCTTTATTATTCAAAGCTGCCTGCACTGTATGAATAAGACAGAGAGGAGAATAGTAGCACGTAGGCAATGCATGGCGGTAGAACCCTATGGAAACGTGCACAGTAAGGAAAAGTTAAAAATGGCCAGAATTAAGAGTGTAATGTATTGAGGACGCAAGAAAATTGCGAAAAAAAAGCATTGCTATTTTAACACAAATGAAATTTATGTGGAAATCAGCGTATGAGCATAACATTTGTGATTTGGAAAAGGTAAGGGGGGAAGGGACCACTTCATTAAACGCTGTGAACTGTCTTATGCAAACAAAATCCAAGATCTGTCAAAATATGGCGAAAGAATATGAAGAAAATCAGTAAATAAAAGTTACACTTTTTTTTTTACAGCCAAGTTGTTCTTACCTGGAAAACTTTTAGGGTGCGTCTAATAAAAAGAAGCATTTATAACACTGACAAATGAGTAAAAACTTCAAGATTGCTTAAACTATCTATATAAAATGTACATAATTTCTTCTTAGCCGTCATGGGCTGTTAATTTCACTGGAAAGTTCTCTTTCACCCATTCTGCACTTTGGTGTCGATCTAGGACCTGAGTTTTGTGTGCACATTCATTTACAGATCTGGCTTATTTGTACATAAACTGTCACTTCCTCACCTCTTAGGCAGATGCACTCTTATGTCAAAGGAAAAGTCCCTGATTAGCCACCTTATTACAATATGTGCTTGTTGACGGAGCTGTAGGAAGAGGTGCGTGTGAGTATGTGTTTATTCCCCTACTCCCCATAAACAAAATGGAACCCACAAGGTGAGGATATTAATTTAATAGTATATTTTGTAACACTTGTAATTATAACCACATAGAAATGCGTCCAAAGGAGGAAACTAAGGTGTTGTTGGACTGGTAACATTTCCTAAATAATATGAACTAGAATTATTAAAAACATCTAAACAGAAGTTCATAACAAAAAGGAAGTCTAATTGATAAAAACAGTTGTCTGAGCATTCACACACAAACAGTAAAGAAGACCCATAAGCAACTTACTTTAAATGCCAGATCTGCTAGGGATGCAGATTCATTAGAAACTAGGTCAAACTTGGATGTTTTCACAAATGTGGCTTCCCCTTCATCCCAGTACTCCTTAGTTCTTTTGATTAGGTGACCTTCATATCCTTTGCTGTGCATTTTGAAAAAAAAAAAAAAAAATGACTATTTGTCAAAAGCTTTGGCACACAAATGGAGCAGCTATGGATTATCTGCAGTTGTGAAGTTAAAACCTTGACTTAGTGTTACCCTGGCTGAGATTCAAGATCAAGGCATCTGATGATAATGAATGTTAACAGAAAATGCATATAAATTCTGAAACAGGTAAATATGAAGGCAAACATCACATTCTAGTTTCAGCCAGTACAGTAAGACAGCAGAGATAATTTTGTTTTTTAATCGACCCCTCGGATCCCCTGATGTTTGAGAATCTTATCTAGGCCCAGAGAATGATCAAGCTTAAAAACAGGCTTACAGAAAGGGAAAATGTTATGCAACAAGAAAGGGGTATCTCCTGTGTGAGAACATTTAAGTCAGCAATCTGTGATGCCAGCAGCACTTGACTCAGGAGGATACCAATCACATCACAATTTGAGTGCTCACTGTCCAATTCCCCCTCCCCCCAACTGGCCCGCAAGCACCACTTGCTCAGTGCTAATCCACTTAGGTAACTAGACACCTTTTATTGGTGGTTTACTCACCTCTTCATGGCGGGCAGCAGAGCATCATTATAAAACTTGGGGCTGACCTCCTGCAGGCACACAATGTCTCCGTCCAAATAGTCCAGCTCCTTTAGCAACAGGTTGTGCCTGAACTCTGGGGCCAGGTACTGGGGCTGTGTGTAAGAGTAGTCCCCCCTGTGGACAAGACGGAACACAAGTAAAACCCATGAATACGCTGAAGTGATTGCAGTTTGTCTTATTCATGTCATATCAAGTCATCACACAAGCATACATTTGTCATGAACCCACTGTCATCGCAAAGCAGGTCCTTTGCTCTCCCTCTTTCCTGGTACCATGCCATCAGCAATTCTTCTTTCCAATCCGTTGCTCTCCCATTGTAGGTGCTGTTGACAATGTCTGTGAGTCACATTTGACCCTACCTTGCAGTAATGTTTTTCCTGAGTCGTATGACTTACCAAAGTCTACTTGCTATCACTGTTTCTTTTCCACTTGCCAGAGAAACATTTTCCTCTGATACACAGTACATGACAATCTAGGGCAGGGGTTGGCCAACTTCTATGAAGAGCACTACCAGTGCTTCTGTAATGATCATCAAGATGTGATAATAGTGTTGTGGCGGCAATTCATTCTTCTGGCAATGGCCTGAAAGCTTACTACGCTCCTAAATACCAATGGTTTGTTTATGGTCACTTTTAGATAGTTGTGGCACTACAAGCACATGTACTGGCTTTTTTATACCCATTATACTGCCACATCTACACATTATAAGGGTTATGGCTGTTGGGAATCAAGTATGTGTCATTTTCACTGTTTTTATGTAGTCTGTACCAAAACCTGCAGGGTGAAATGCACCTTCCAGCAACAATTTGCTCTCTACAGAATACCAAACATGGGGAAAATCCATTCCCACTTTTCTCCCTGACCTGACTTCTCAGAAACAGTATATATTATAGTGTGTTTTTAATGTGCTTCAGTATATTTCAGTTTTCGATTCAAGATGCTGATTACTACCCAATCTTCTTTGATGTTCACATCTTTAAAGATATCATTATTTTTTCTTGGTCCAAGGTATGCTAAGAATCTTTGTATAGCATTTTAGCTTAAAACTTATATTTTTGTCCTTAATGACTGAGATAGTCCATGAGTCACATGTGAATGTTTTCCCATGAAGATACATTCTCTCTCAGAATTCTGACTATGATTTCCTTTCTTGTGCTTAACCCCAGAATTTTAATGCTGTTTATTTTTAAGTTTGTGAAATTTATTTTGTATATGCACATGGCTTGTATAATAAGCTACTTGAGTTGGATTATCTTCACAGCACTTTCGACACATCCATATGTGCTCAGATTCCCCCTCAACATATTTAGCGTCGCACAATTAACTGCGCCAGTTCTATGCTGGTTGACAAGACTCCTGTGTGCTTCTCATGCTTGGCTGTGCCGATCTTTACTTCCAATTTTTGTATTCTTAGCAGTGATGTCGACACGTTGCTTCCAAAATCCTCAGAACGTCCTATCTCTCGAAGGGCACAGACAATGTTTGCGCAATCCATGGGCCGGCCATCTTTAATTAATGCAGCACCTGTCAGTCTATCAGGTCTTTTATTAGCAACACTTGCATACCTGGGACAAATATAAAGGTAACTGCACACAAAGGAGAGGTTTGCAATGACTCTATCCATTATCTATGTAACCAGCCTGCCTTGACCCGCCAGATCATGCTCAAAGAATCACTCACACACACGAGGGAATGGTCCCCTGATTCTAGCTACATGAAAGCTTGTGTCAACGCCATGAAGCTAGTAGTTGTAGAGAAGGCACCGCTGGGTTCTTCAACTGTTCTGCCTGAAGAGTTAGCTGTAAATGTTCATGCACCCTTATTTCACTCTGAGGTATTTCAACAGATTTGTTCTTGTGAAAATTTCTTTGCTGCTTTCCACTGCTGGTAAGACAGCCGTTGCTATATGCCTGTTCAAGGAGAATCACATTACTGAGGCCTTCAAAGGGTTGACATGAGCATTAGAATCTACACACCAGGAGGGGATGGATCAAGTTCACTGTGCAGTAAAGTGGCAATCTCTTCCAAGTCCAGTCACTCCTGTGTCGGCTCTGTGGCCAGGTCGATGCGAACGCTTCGTAATTCCGGAGTGCCAGGTCCGATCCCAGCTGCGGGCCATGCGCCTTGTGTTGGCTTCAACAGTGGTATCAGGGGGTAGACCGTCCAGAAAGCAATGGCAAACTACTGGACATAAATTTGCCTAGAGAAGCCACACAACAGCTAGGGGTTGGTTCTGCAACGTCCTGTAAAGGATACGCAACTAACCAAACCTGTCACTCCTGTGCAATTTCCGCTCAGTTATAAATACACTGATTAGAACTGGAGACAGCGGAGAACCTTGAGGCAATCCCGAGTTTGACGCAGTAACTACATCCAATAAATAAGTAGAACGTACATGTGTAAGACTGATATAAACAGACATCTACTGGACCTAGCAGAATAGAACTCTGTGTTGGTTGCAAGAGATAGATGGTACACTTTTGGGAATTATCAGAGTGCTTTGATGTCGGTTCTGAAGTCAACTCAACTCCCCACTGCAATAAATGCAAGACAGGAACAAACAACAATGAACACCATAACACCAACATCAGTTTTCCAGAGGATCCCTCACCCAACACTAAGCCTATCAGCAACTACTAATAGACACAACTAAATGTTAACACTCAGTTTTGACCAACCTGCACAGGTGGCAGTCTGCCAAGATGTTGTAACTAACCACACTGAAACAATATGCTGGATCCATCATCTCCACAGGAAATGTGGGATTGAGAATAAACTTGCGGCTGTCGATGGCGGTGGAGGATGGCACATAATCCTTGCGGACAGCTGCCTGGACTTTGTCTGGACTGGAGGTTAAGTGAGTGTCAGAGTTAACTATCGATGGCTCCTGAAAGAGAAAACAAAAGACAGATCCATTAGAATATCGTTAATACAGAAAAATGCACAATCCTTTAAATATAAGAAACAGTTTTAAAATAAAAAACTGCTAGGGAGAAAGAATGTACAGGCAGACCTAATAAAACTTGGGAGTCGGCGGCGACTGGAAAGAGAATGCCAATCACAGAGACGAATGGAGACATATATCTGCTAGAATCTACCTCAATGACAGAATGCTGCTTCTGAAAAAGAAAAAGGGTGGGAAGACTGAAGGACCCATTGTTTTCTAACTGATGTATGTAGTTGTGTCAGAGAATCTGAAGATGAAATAGAGAAAACTGTTAAAATATCACTACATTTACTTGTTGCACACCCCCCTATGTGGGTTCTAATGCCTTATTCAGGGAAAAACAGAATAGACCCCCACTCCCCCTCCTTACAATCACTTCAAAAATGTAAACTAATTAGGGGCGTTTCCTCAAGTAAGGAACCAAGAGTCTGTATATAAATAAGCCAAATCTATAAAATATATGCATGCAAAACAAGTTCTGGAACAAGATACTCTACTAGAACTTTCCACCGGTTTGCAGCTGGTGAGCACTAAAAACAGACTTGCAATGAATCTATATAAACCAATGTTGTACTTTACTTAAAGGTGAAGAGGCTGACAGACTGACAAAGAAAGTGGAAAACTAACTGAACCTGGTAAATAGGCAAATTTCGAACCCCGGCGGTAAACGCCCAAAGAGATTAGATGTGTCAGCCAACTGCACAATGCAATTACGCCCCAAGATGAAAAATGAAGAAGATATTCTGGCAGGAATGGCTGTTCTTTGCGACACATTTCTTCATCCCGTAGCCTTTTACAAATCAATTACTCATTTTAGCTGACCAAGTAATTTTCTGATGAGAACTATTTAAACCTGACCCAGTGCAGCAATACAAACCACAATGACAGTTGGCTCCCCATGGGTATGCACTAAGGCGAGATAATCACCTCTTTGCTGTCAGGTAGGGCATAGAGCACAGAAAGCACGCTGGTAAGACTACCATTTATCTGAGCTGGCAAAAATATTTTCAGGCGAGAACTTTTTAGATCAACCCTGTGTGACTGGGACAAGAGCTAATGAGTCAATGACATTGGTGTTTACCTCGTCTGTGCCATTCTGATGAACAGCTGAATGATCAGTGAAATTACTAGCTGTTTTTCCCAAAGATACTTCTCCGTCTACCTCCATTGCTTCTGGCTGACTGGAATCTACTGCTGGAAATGTCTGTGGAGCTGCCAGTGTGTCCTGTGGAACTACAGGAGCTGCCTCTGATGTAGAATTGGCATGAGCAGAAGCTGGTTCAGCTGCTGCAGTCGGGGTAACAGTGTCTTGAACAAGAGCTCCATCCTGACTGGCATTAGTGTCATCACTTGACAGCTTCACCTTTTCTGTGGCTCCAGATACCTGCTCTGCGGCTCCTGAATCTGCAGATATAGCAGGACCACCAGAAGACACACCAAAATCATCTGTGGGTGGCTTGATGCTGGTTTCCATCACAGCTGTTTCATCATCATCCTGAAAAAAAAGAAAGAAAAAAATTACTGTCTGCTCATGCCTTGACTACAGGCACACAACTTTTCAAAATCAGATATCCTGAAACATAAGCTAGATAACATTCAGGTGATCACTTCCTGTATCAAATACATTAGTCAGTCACAAAAACATGTCTCACCTTCAGACCAGAGATGTCTATATCTGATAGGGAAACAGTTCTAGCTGCGACAGTTTCTGCTGCTGGCTCGTCGGTAATATCTTCAGAACCAGGTGGATCAGAGGACCCTTCTTTGACTTGCGGTGGCAGTGATGCTAGAACCTAAAAAGATATTGTTATATTAGCAAAGGTAGAAGCATTAGGCAAAATAGAAAGCTAGAGCCTAGCATATTTGGAAATATCTAGATGGATTGGCCATGTTATAATTAAAAAAAAAGACATGATCAGAAACCAGTTACCAATATCTGTAAAATTTATTGGCTGAACCCATCATGACAGGTTAGAAGAAAGAAAAAAGAGATAATCACCTCTTTGCTGTCAGGAGAAGGAACATCCTCTTTGTTGACAACAATAAAATCCTCCTCTGTGCTGACTTCAGCAGGTGCTGTTGTGTCTGCCTTGACTCTCTTGGCCACAGGACTGCCGTCGCTGCCCTCTAGCTTGCGTTTTTTGTTGGGACTCTCTAACTCTGATGGCTCGGTCTCATCATCTTCTAATTTGCGTTTCTTAGCTGGACTCACTGGCTCAGATGCTTCTACTGCAGCCGTCTGAAAGAATGAAAAATTGAAAGATCTATCTTAATTATTACCAGACAACATATACTCAAAATTCTGACCAGCTTCCGCAGACGCGTATGGATTCTCTCATTAAATGCATCATGAATGTCTCACTACCCTTTATCATGTGGGTCTTCGAGGCAATGACTCTCCCGGCAGTGGACAGGAGTGATGTCATCAATGCTATGCACGATACATATAATGAAAAGATCATGACAACATGTGGTAATTAGTATCCCTGTCCAGGCTGGTGGATATGGTAGTGCAACCAGGAGCTTCTAGACCTGAACATTTCACTAATGGCACAAGACCCCTGATTAATGAATATACAAAAGGGACATTATCAGTAGTTTTATGCTTGTGGAGCTACCGGTAAGATTGCAGCACCTATAAGTATTTCCAAGTGCCGTGGTGATAGTCCTAACCATCAATAAATAAACAGAAATATAGGTGAAGTTGCTGCCGTGGGCGCTCAATCCACCTACCTTAAACATAGGCATGAGAAAATGTTTTGAGACGCAAAGACGGCATGTAAGCTACAAGTGCTCAGACGTCTACTAAACTATGGGGCTAGAACTATATGCCTACAACACAAACAGTGAACATCTCATTAACAAACAACAACAACAACAAAAAGACTACTCCCAGCCAGACTATATACATAGTGCTGCTGAATCACCTGGGCATATCCTACGACAGATCCCTACAGAAGTCCCAGGACCAGATTTGCACACACACACTCCTCTTTTCTGGGCTTGTTCTGCAACAAGTCCAATAAAGAGATGACATACCAACTTGGTGTGTGTCGAGAATGAAACCTTTGCACAGACCACATTTTCCACTTTAAAATTTCAGCAACATCATTCTAACAGATCCATGCACACCACTCAAATGTTGTAGGACCTTAAACTTTAGGACTTGAATAATTTATAGTCTATCAATAAACCGTTAAATGAATTCGTAAAATAATCCCTAAGAAAAATGATGAAAATAAAATGGGATGAATTCAAAAGGCCCTGAAGCAGCGAGGCTTTCCAGGAGTAGAAAAGAAGTGAAGAAACTGGAGAAATGTCTGGACAAGGATTAGTATCAACAGCTATAAGACAGAGCTGATGGCGCTACATTGGACACATCCTGAAAAGAAACCAGCAGAGAATCACCAAACAGGCATTAAATGGGAAATAAAGTGATTAAGAAGGCTAGGACGTGCAAAAGAAACCCTAAGATGAACATTAATGACAGGCCAAAGCTACCGGACTGGATTCTATCCATGATATTGAACTGATTGCACAGCATAGAACAGAATGGAGGATTAGACTGTGAGCCCTATTGACATATAATGGCACAATAGGATAATTATGAATGCATGAATGGATAAACCAAACACAATGTACAAACCGAAGCGATGGAAACTACAGCTTACAAACAACTTCTAGAAAAACCAAGTTGTTATTCGTCAGAAGTATTTGTTGTACTTACATTAGAAGCATCCACTGCTGCCTTTTCAGTAGCTGTCTGCTCCTTATACGCTGCTTTCTCTGTAGCGGATGACTCTTGTGTTTCCATTGCTGCCTCTTCAGTTGTAGGTGCCTCATTTTCTGATGCTGCCTTTTTATCTTTCTCTGTTATTGCCTTCTCAGTATTATGCTCTTCTTTTTCTGTTGTTGCTTCATCAGTAGTTGATGCTGCTTTCTTTTCTACTGCTCCTTCCGCTGGGGTGGCCTTCTCTTCCTCCCCAGTTTCCATTTCTTCTGTCTTTTCAACTGTTTCATCGGCTACAGCTTCAGCTGCACCTCTTCTCCGGGTTGACTTTCCAGAAGCAGGTGTTGTCTTAACTGGTGGTGCAGACTCTGCTTTCTGGCCTCTACCCCTGCGCCCTGATGATGATGTTGGGGTATCTACTGAATCTTTATTAGCGCCTCGTCTCTGCCGACCTTTTGGTGTAGCATCTGTTTCGTTATCAGCAGCTGTTGATGCCTCTGCTTCATCTTTCTTACTTTTAACAGAATCATCACCTTTCTCATCACTCTCCTGTTCAGCAGTTGCAGCTTTACCCCTCCCTTTTCTTTCAGTTCGTGGGGATGGTGCGACTGCAGCAGCAGTGGTCTTGCTTCTCGCTCGACCACCCCTGCCTTTCACAGCTGGTTCATCCTCCTCTGTCTCTTTCACAGTTTCACCCTCTTCTTCAACATTTTCTTCATCTTTCTCACTTTTGTCTTTTGTTTTAGTTCCTCTTCCACCTTTGACAGCATTTGTTGCTTTAACCTCCTGTCCAGCTTTCCCTCTGCTTCTGCTTCGTGAACCTCCTTTCGGAAGCTTTTCTTCAACTTCCTCATCTTCTGATTTTTCTTTACTCTCAGGTTCTTCTTCTTTCTTTGCTTTTCCTCCTCTAGAGGCAGATCTTCCTCTAGATGCAGACTTTCCTCTTGCAGGACCATCAGCCTTTGGCCCTTCTGACAGCAATGAGAACAGAAAATAGTTAATTAAATCATTAAATAATATGTTTTGAAATATACAGATATATGTACTATTCTATGCAATATATTAATTTCAGGTAACCGTCAGTCCACAAAATTAAACTCACCTTAGCTACTGAGCCGACCCAGCCTAAAATGTGTACTTGGAAATGTCCCAAGGAAGTAACGGTTGTTGACATAGTTTTTATACCACATCACCCATTAACTGCTAAACAGTCAATAAAACAAGTGTTTCTAGCACCACAAACCCAGTGCATTTATGGCATGACATGACAAGCCCTGGGTCAGCAGTGGTTGATACAGGTGTCTTAATTTTTACCAGACAACAATTCCTGGGTCAGCATAGCCATTTTATTGGTATAATACCCCACCCCCTCTACCTTTCCACACAAAAAATACTAGTCCCCCCCCCCCATACATGGGACAAACTAAACAAGTACCCAAAAATTGGGGGGGGGGGGGGGGGGGTGATTATTCTAGGATTAAATTAAACAAATAAAAGGGACAAACTAACAAGTACAAAAACATGTCTACCCATACAACAAACAATCAATTGCCAACCTTTAGCCGGCTGTCTTCCACTTCTCCTTGTTGGTGTTTCCTGAGTGTCTCCACCTGCAGCCTTGTCTATTGCAGACTCTTCCTTCTTGGCTCCTCTGTTAAATGCGATATTATTGATTTACGTGAAAGCAAATATTATAAATGATAGCAACAACAAAAAAAAGACTTTCTTTTTCATTTCAAGACTTCCATATTTCAGATCAATTAAATACCCCCCAATAAGCGTTCGAGTAATTCCCCCCCACAAAAACTTTGCTTTCTGTTATCTTCAGCTCTCCACCATCATGCAGACTGCAGGTCTATCACAAACACCTTTAACCTTATTCTTTGTTTTCTATTTGCTGACTGTTAGGTCAAATTCACAGCATGTATGAACAAATGTTAAGTAGCAAATACTGCACTTTTCTGAGTGTGTGGTAATTGCTGCATCATTTGCTCTCTGTAAAGCACCTTTTTTCTCTTTTCTTTCAGCCTAAAGGCATTATAAAGGCTGGCGTCAGATTGAGAAAGGATGAATATACTGCCCTCCTGATCTAGAAAGGCATGTTTAAAAAAATGTGAGATGTATATTGTAAAAAGGGTATGAGCAAAAAACACATCCCTGCTTCCCTCTATTGGTGATTACAAACTCCTCTGATGTTACACCGTCGAAGTTAATTGTACCTTTCATACCTGGCGGACAGCCAATTTTCTTCAGCTTGTTAAACAGACCCCTTTGACTAACCAAATGAAATGCCTTGGCAAGATCAATAAAAGCAATATACGGTGGCTGATTTTTCCGCCCGGCATTTTTCATGCAACCATCATAATGAAAATACATTAGTTGTATACCAGTTTCCCATTTCAGCCACACTGTGACTCTGGATAGATCTGGTCCCAGTGGATCTTGACTGTCCGCAGAACAACTCTGGCAAGTACATATCCAGCAGTACATAACAGTGATACTGCCATTTAGTTGTTGCTGTCACCCAGATCACGCTTGTTCTCATACATAGTTGATGCTTAGGTCTTTGGAGTCTTGCAGACCTGTCCTTCGGGTCAGCAGTGTTATTAGCAGATGAATGTGTGAGGTTCGAATGTCTGTCCCACTCCTAATGAGACAACATGCAGCATTTAACATATAATATATTCTTGTACTGGAATACATAAGCTCTGTGGCTAAGTCAATGCAAATGCTTCATAATGCCGGGTCCGATCCCAACTGCAGGCCATGTGCCTTGCGTTGGTTTCGACAGTGGTATCAAGAAAGCCGCCTCCCCAGAAAGCAATGGCAAACTACTGGAAGTAAATTTGCCTAGAAAAACCACACAACAGCCAGGGGCTGTTGGGGTTGGTTCTGCAACTTCCTGTAAAGGATACACAACTAACTTACCTTTGTACTGGAATACAGCATATATGTGACCTTCCCATTCGGTTATTAGGCTCTATAGCTACAAGGTGTAATCTATAAGGGCCTAAACAGCAGCTGTCAGTTCAAGATTCTTTGCATTTAAAATAATATTACTAGGGATAAACACAGGACAACCTAATATGTTAACATGTCACCTGAATGTTTAAATTACATTTTTTTTCTTATGTTTTTCCCTATGTCCTAGTGTAAGTCCAGGGAACTCTTTAACAAGCATGTTGTAAGAGGTGCCTAATTAATTATTTGCTGTAACCATTGAGCTGGGCTAAAATGTGCAGATATTGCAGCCTGTTTTTAAAACCCCAACCGCAACGCTGGCATCTCTTTATATAATACTATATTACATGGCATGGATGGGTTAATGGTTACACATCACATACCGTTTTCCTGCAGACTTTGGACTCTCTTTTGGAGTTGACTCATCCTTGGAAGCCACACTTCTCCGAGTAACTCTCCCCATCTGAGAGGAAAAAAAAAAAGAAAGATGCAACGTTAGTGAAAGTAACAAAGCCAGAACATTAAGTAGCAAAAGCAATGAGACGCAGTTTTAAAGGATTTGTCTGCATCGACATCAGTCCCACCCATTCGTGCTCCATCCTCTGATGCAGCAGCCATCTCAGTAATGACAATCAAATTTATTCCTAGAACTGTTACAGAATGGTCTTTATTGTATTCACTGGTTCAAGTGATATACAGAAACACTGTGCATCTTTCTTGTGTCTACATACAGATGTGAGTCACAGACCATCTTATCAAGAAAAACTACTAATATTCTACAGTAGGTATATTCAACTGACGGCCTGCAAAGGCCTAGCAAGGGGCCCACAGATCATTGCCAGTTGTACAGTGTAGGGTTAATGGTCTTTCACTCTTGCTACGCTGGGGCTAGGTCATCATGCCCGCCACGATCCCATTTTCAAAATGCCCCTGAATATTGCTGTGGAGCAGTCCTGTTCTGCAGGATCTCAACATAAGGATTAATTTAATGGGCACTCTTCCAAATACCAGTCCCAAATTATTCGTTGTTAAAAACCCATTATGATTTAGGGACTTATAGAACATAGTTAAACATCTGGAATAGGAACACTACAAACAATGCCTCGCGTTATTTTTTAGTTTCATGGGAACCAAACTCTCTCAAACATTTTAGCCCATATAACAGGTGGTTGGCAGGTTGAGTTGTGGTTTACAGATAGGGCGACAGATATAGCGGCAGCGAGATGCTTAACAGACTAAAGATGGCCTTCCGGTCTCCAGGCTCGGGCGCAGTGTTGACAGCTCTTTACTGTGAAAAATAAACAACGTTACTGAAACTTCAAGAGGAAATAAGTGCTCTAAACGTCCAACAGTCTTGGGACTGAGTCCCTCTGTCAGCATGAACAACATAGATGAAAGCCGAAAGGAAGCCCATGATGGGAAAAACAAGTCTGCTGGATGTCAAAACCAAATTAAGAATTGGCTTCTGGAATGTAAGAACTATGTTTGAAAATGCCAAAACCGCCCAAGTAATTAAAGAAATGCAGAACTATAAACTGCATATTCTTGGAATTAGTGAAAGCAGGTGGACAGGGTTTGGACAATCCATAACAAGTACAGGAGAAACCATAATATACTCTGGAAGAGATGATAACCTACATTCTGCAGGCGTGGCACTCATTTTAAAGAAACATCTCATCGAGTGACATCAAATTAGTGAAAGACTTATGACAGCACGATTCAATGGGAAACATGCCAAACTTACAATCATCCAATGCTACGCACCGACTAATGAAGCTGAAGACGAAGATAAAGAAACATTCTATAGGAGGCTGCAAGAGGTAGTAGATAAAGTACCAGCCCATGATATTCTGTGCATCATGGGAGATCTCAATGCAAAAGTTGGTAACAACAACTTGAATAGAGAATTATCAATGGGAAATCAAGGATGTGGTACAATTAATGACAACTGGGAAAGACTGAGCGACTTCTGCACGGCGAATAGACTTGTTATAGGAGGAACACTGTTCCCACACAAGAATATACACAAGCTTACATGGATATCCCCAAACAGAAGAGATGTAAACCAGATCGACCATTTCATGGTAAACAGAAAATGGCGTGGGTCCCTACTCGATGTGCGTGTCAAAAGGGGAGCAGACGTAGGAAGTGATCATCACCTTGTAGTTGCTCTACTGCGACTTAAACTCAAAAAAGTTCACACGCAAGTTAAAACACAGACAGCTCGTTACAATTTTAACCTTTTAAGAGAAAAAGACATTGCCACTAAATTTATAGTAGAACTCAAGAATAGATTTCAAACCCTATCAATTGACCCAGACACTCAAAATGCAATCAGCATTCAAGATAGATGGAACCAGATCAAAGAAACATATAAATCAACTAGCAACAACATATTAGGAACCAGGAAACAACATCACAAAGAATGGATAAGCAGTCAAACCATGGACTATATTGCGAAGCGAAAAAGAATAAAGAGCCTCTTAAATCTCACTAAATCAGAGCGTCAGAAAGACAAACTAATGTTAGAATATAGCGAACTAAATAAAATGAAAAAGAAAAGAGCCAGAGCTGACAAAAGAAGATTTATAGAAAATCTAGCAGAAACAGCAGAAAATGCTGCTAAAGCACATGATCTACAAACCCTGAACAAAAATACCCAGCAAATTTGCGGAAGCAGAAACAATTATCACAGCATACCCATCAGAGATAACCAAGGCAGACTGCTCACCACAGAACAAAAACAAGACATGAAGTGGACTAAACACTTCTCCGACCTCTTGAACAGACCTGATCCTGAAAATCCGCTAGATATTCAACCAGCCTCTCGGGACATTGACATTATTACTGAACCACCAAGCAAGAAATCCTAAAAGCTATCCACACTTTAAAGAACAAAAAAGCACCAGGCAAAGATGAACTGCCAGCAGAACTTCTCAAAGTAGATCCCAACACAACTGCTAGCATTCTAGAAACATTGTTCAAGTATATTTGGGAAAAAGAAGTGTTGCATGATGACTGGACTGAAGGAACAATAGTCCAAATCCCCCAAAAAAGAGACTTAACAGACTGCAATAATTGGAGGGGAATTACTCTACTCTCAGTACCGAGCAAAATATTTTGTAAAATTATCATAATGTGGCTTGAAAAAGGAGTAGATAAATGCCTACAAGTAGAACAAGGCAGGAATCAGAAAGGGCAGAGGAACAACTGAAAACATCTTCGCCATACGTAACATTTTACAACAATGCAATGAATGGCAGAGAAGTATATATATAAATTTTGTGGACTTTGAGAAAGCTTTTGACAGCGTCCATAGAGACAGTCTATGGAAAATTTTACGCCATTATGGAATTCCAGAAAAAATAGTCAACATAATTGCTCTCTTCTATAAAGACTTTTCCTGCAGTATACAAAATTACAATACATCTTTCCCAGGATAGGTGTAAGACAGGGATGTGTTATGTCACCTCTCCTCTTCAACCTTGTGATCGATTGGATACTAAAAACCACAGTAGACAAGACATTGAAAGGCATACGGTGGACTCCATTCACCATGCTAGAGGACTTTGATTTTGCAGATGAAATAGCACTGCTATCACATAAACATGAACATATACAACAAAAAAGTAACAGACTACCTACACAGCACAGCAAAAATGGTGGGACTGAGAATAAATACAAAGAAAACTAAGATCATGACAAGCAGTCCAAACCAACACACAACCAGTGACCATAAATAACCAAACTCTTGAAAATGTAGAACATTTCACATATCTTGGTAGTGTGGTGTCCCTGCCGGGAGGGAACGAAGAGGACATACAGTCAGGTCTGAACAAAGCTAGAGCTGCTTTTGGAAGGATGGGGCAAATCTGGAAATCCAACAATTACTGCAGAGGAACGAAACTCCGACTCTACAAGAGCATCATTTGACCAGTTCTTCTTTATGGAGCGGAATGCTGGAGAATGACCAAAAAGGATGCACACAAGCTGCCCACCTTCCACCACACATGTCTACGTAGAATTATCAATTATTCTGGCCAGATACAATCTCAAACACTAAACTACTTCAAGTCACAAACCAAGAAACTTTAGACATTATGATAACCAAGAGAAGATGGAAATGGCTTGGCCACGTTGTGAGAATGAATCCTGATGTACCTGCCAAAACGCATCTCACCAGAGGGAAAGAGAAAACAGGGGTGTCCAAAAACAACATGGAGACTAATGATGGAAAGTGACCTGAGTGCATATCTTTGACACAGAAAACTGCACTGAAGATTGCACAGGACAGGAAAGCATGGAAAATCCTCTCTGAAGCCTCATGTGCCACTAGGCATAACGAGAACGGATGATAATGATGATGAGATGCTTAACAGTCATGTCATGGGTTGGTAATCTTTTTATTCGTTCGCCCTTGAAAGGATGGTTGGCGTTTTACAACATGCATTTTAGGTGGCAGTAGATCTATTCGGTGAGTCACAGGTAATGTGAACAATAGATCAAAAACTATAGCTCCCCACGCAATTTAATGGATTGAAAGTGATTCCTCCCCACTGCGCTAAGCTCAATGGCTCTACACTTATATCTATCGAGCAATAACAGAAGAAGTGGACTGATGATGATAGCCTAAATGTTTTCACTACATTACCTCTTGGAGCTCTCAGAGAGGGATATTTTTCGCAATGAATAATTTGGGACAGGTATTCGGAAAAGTGCCATTAAATGACCTTATTCCCCTTAGCTAACCTCTGTCGTACCATATTTCATTTTTTGTGGTGAGTAAATAATTATACTAAAAAAGTTCTTGGTATTAAAAAAAATAGGTTATTCCCAGAATAACGACCACATATTATTGCGGCCAAAAACACACCCTGACAGGGCCTCATTAGGTCATGTGTTGTAAACATTCAAAAATCTAAACTCGCAAAATAATGAGGAACAAAATAAGGGAAAATGATGAAATTGACTACTTAGCGATAATTGAGGCCTTTATTTCTAAAAATAGTGGCACAGAAATTGCAAATAATGGTCTCCGAAAATCTGCTCTTTGTGGCTGTGATGCCATTGAAACTCAGCTAAATCTAAATATGATCAGAGCCGCAATGGTAATGCAGTTTTCACCCCGAGAGTATCTCCCGTGCCGCGGATAGGGGCTAAACTAGGCAGCTGGGGCTCAAGAGGAAATAAATTGGAGGAAGTTGCAGGAGATGCGGTAGCTGCTGCTCGTGAGTCTCAGCCATCTAGTCACCCACATCCGCGGCACGTGGGATACGCTAGGCACAGAGTTTAACCGCCATGTCGCTATCAGGGTGCATATTGTTGCGTTTCTCAAAATTGTCAACGGACAGTAATCCTAGTTTTGCTGCGATGTGTTTGTCGGAGGAAGTCCGCAATTTACATGTGATTGAGGCTCTGTCAGGGTGTGAGTGTGTTGTTGGCCGCCATAATATGTGGCCGTTA